TAATTTAGTAGAATAAAAAAGATTTTAATTATAATTTAATTATAATTTAATTATACTTTAATTATAATTTAATTATAATTTAATTATACTTTAATTATAATTTAATTATATTTTTATTATATAGTAATATATTTAGCAAATCAAAGGTTTTTGCAAAGTTTAATAACTTTTAGATTGATTATAAAAACTTATTTTTATACTTTCTTGTAACTGCCAAAGGTATCAAATTATCATATCAATATTATAAACCAACAAAATATTTTATGATATAAAACTTATAATAATATATTTTTTGTTATTAAATGCTAAAAAGCAAGTTATATTAAATTTTATTAATATTGCAATTTTTAAAAATTTAAATAAAGTAAAATCTTTTACTTTATATTAGTATTTTATATATTGTTTTCAACTAAACTAGTAAACTATATTAATTTTTTATAAATAATATTCTTTTAAAACCTTAGTTATTTAAAAATATATATTTTTTACTATATAATTTCTAAAAGTTATAGACTATAAAAATTTTTTCTTATAGCAATTTATATATATATATAACCTATATAAATTGTTAAATATTATATTCTTGGATTGGGATCCTTCGGCCGAGTGGTCTATGTCATATGACAATGCGGCATTATGAAAGTATAGCATTACGGCAGCATTACAGCGACATATAATTGTTGCAAAATGGTTTACAATAATACTGCTTGCATAGTCCGCCTCAACCATTATTATATTAAACTTTATATGTCGATATTTAGTTACAATTTTTCTTTCCTTTTTATTTTAAAACATGCTACTTTTAATCGTAATTTAAGCGAAACACGTTGAAAAATTAGAACTCGATAATATGGGTCACACCAATGACTATAAATAATATAATACTACTTAAAAAGCATTACACTAAATCCTAATGGAAGGCCTCAATCGGTATGTGGAATGACTTGGTCCGAGTAATTAGGGTTATTAAAGCTCGTCACGAGCACTTTATTATAGAGTTCATGAGTTACAGATTTAATCTTTAGTAATCGGTAGGAATTATTTAGAGAAATATCCAATCAGAACCTTTAACATGTAATTCTAAACTATTCTTATTTGGAACGAAATGATTTCGCTTATATGTCTATTCTTACATAGTAAGTATACGGGTAATTATTTTTGAATCCGGACCAAACCGTCATTACGTCATATATAAAATTAGTTCGGGTTCAAAAATAATCACCCATATTGGGCAGGCATGAAAAAAATAACAGGAAATTTTTTGTCGGGGTTAACGTGATGCTAAACTCCGATGAAAAAATTTCCTATTATTTGTCGTATGCACATTATCCGGCATTTATATATGCTATTTTTCCTGTGATATTTTTGCATAAATGATTACGTAACCTCACAAAAAATATCATGACAAAAAAATTCACACAATCATATAAATGCGGATAATGAATAACAAAGATAATGCGAATATCGAATATAATATGGAATCGGAAACATTAAAAAGGCTTCAAATATTTTAAATACATCTACTATCTTTGCTATTCGGAGATTTCACTACTCAATACGTACTTGGGATTTTCGGGATTCAAGGATTGTACTACCTCGGACCGTCAAAATTCTGAGGATTATTATGTTGTCATACTAAGTCAAATACGGTAATCTCAATGGCAATACTTAATGCAAAAGAAGTGCTAAGAACTTATTTATTAATCCATATAAGTTAAAGATACTAACAGTCTTTTAGAATTGCCATTTTTAAAGCTTATAAATAAACCAATTGGAATTTAACATAAGAAGCGAATTCTTGTTTGTATTTATACGTATAAATACACTCACGTTGTGATCTGGTTCAGTTCGTTTAATTCTAATTTCCATAGTATTAACACTATCGATATCACAAAAAATAAAATGAAAGATACCGTCAATCTTAGAATGGATTCAATATCTGATTGTCGACAAATGGCCATAATATACATGAAAAAATTGCCTAATCTTGACAGCTCTCAGATGTTTAAAATTATTTGTAACAATGTAATAAACGATCTGTATCTAACACAGCACGAAAAGAATTATCTAATAAATGATCTGATTAAGACAAGAGATTCACAAAATATTATAGAAGAAATTGGAGAAAAACGGTTATGCAATAATTGTAATAACAAAGCTTTTGCTATTCTTTATTGTGAAAATTGCATTCGAAATTATTTAAAAAGTAAATTTAACAAATGGACTACTGGAAATGATAAAATTGATAAATTAATTCAAGAATGCCAAATCAATTCGGTGGCGCCATCGAACATAATTGAATGGATTCCTTTTAAAAACTTTGAAAATATTATACCAAAAACAGAACATGACACATCACTAGTCTATACTGCAACGTGGAAGTGTGGGCCATATATAGAATGGGATGCTGAACAACAAATGCTAAAGAGAGATGGTAAAGGAACTTATATTCTCAAGAGCATGAATAATTTTGAAGAGGAATGGCTCAAAGAGGTAATATAAATGAGTCATAAAATAAATAGCATATATCCATTGAATTAAGATAAATCAAACTTTTTTTAAATTTATATAATTAACTAATAGTTAGCAACTATTAATTATTATTTTTTAGGTCATTGAGAATCTTACTATTGAAAAATATTCACAATCTCTTATAAGATGTTACGGATTCACTAGAGATCCAACTACTCAAAGTTATATGCTTGTTCTTCAACATATGGACAGTAATTTACGTGATTTTCTTACAAAGAAACCAGATTTACCTTGGAAAATCAAATTTAAGATAGTCAGAAATATCTCTAATGGTATAAGAAAATTACATAAAGTTTCAAACTCTGCACATAAAAATTTGCATCCAAGAAATATCCTAGTTGATGAAGCCAAGTTTCATTGTGTAATTAGTGACTTTGAGTTTGATTCATTAAGAAAGTCGTCTAATAGTATTTACAAAAATATCTTGTACACTGCTCCTGAAGTATTATGCAATAAGCCATATACAATAAAATCAGATATATACAGTTTAGGAATGATTATGTGGGAACTCACCTCTGGTAAACCCGCTTTTAATGATGAAATAACTAAATCAGATGATGAATTTGCCAGTGATATAATTAATGGATTGCGACCAAAGGTTGTTGATGGAACTCCACATAATTACGCAACTTTAATGGTTAAATGTTGGGATGCGATTCCTGAAAATAGGCCTGATGCTAATATTGTTATGAAAGAAATGGAGTCATTGCTTAGAAATATTTATGAAAATGATGATTCAAGTCGAGTATTAAAACCCATTCCACTTAAGATCAATTCTAAAACTCCAGTGAAAAATTTTATTAAATATCTTGAAAGAAAATTTAAATGGTTCTGTTGCCTGGTCTAGAATATCCATATAGTTATTTTACAACCGGTACAAGTCTATACAAAAAGTGAATTTTATATCAGCATATATTTATTGTGACGATTAAAATAAAAACAAATTAAATGACATTTCGTATAGTGTAAAATAGACAATACACCGTAATACAATTTTTGGGATGTATTTTTTTAGTTTTTTTTTTTTTTTTTTTAAGGTCAAGGTTAGCATTAAGAGTAGAATTTACAGTATAATACACGAATGTAAGTGGGTTTTATGAGTCTGTAACAATTCTTATTTGCCAAAAACTGCAAATTATTTATCGAATTTACCATAATTTTATGCCCAATTTCATAATTAAAGCCGAATTTTTTTAGTTATATTCTTATTTAATGAATAAATGTTGTGCTGTATTTAATATTTAAAATAGTATTTTTAAAATTACTTCAATATATAGACCAAATAAATGTCTTTAAATAAATAAATAATTGTAATCTGGTACAGTCATGCAATTCATTAGTCCAGACTGTTAGCAACATGTATTTAGAGAAAAATTAAGAAAAATTGCATTTATAGAGACAAACCGTATACCAAACATATACTTTGTCCCGAAGTTAAAGTTGCATTTTAGAGAGAAGTTGCACTTAGAGGGGCTGCACTTAGAGAGAGTTGACGGTATTTATTTTACAATAGTTAATTAAGCCAAATGATATACTGTATAAAAAAAGAACGCAATTTTGATTTACTTCTAACTATTAAATTTATGTATAATAAGTATTTTTTGATAATTAATTATTATTATATATTCACTGATTTTATTAATATTAAAATATTTAAATAACGTCAAAAGTATGGATACTTAACGGTTCACGGTCGTCAGCTCATGACTGTGACCAGTACCGGCTCGGTCAGAGTCCCTGACTGACTGATTGTCCATAAAATATTTTCAGATATTCGTTCATAGAATATAATTTGATTAACTTGTTTTTTGTTGCTTTGTCTTTATTTGTTAATTTTTTTGTTGAACTTAGAATGCCCTGTTTCATTTGAATCATTTAAAAACTTTGTTAAGCTAAAAAATTGACTGATGTCCATTTAACCTGTTCTGTGTCATTTCTCAATTTACTATTACGTCATTTATTAATCGGTAAAACAGATTATGAAAATCTCCGATTTTAAAAATTATATGACGATATTTCATAGCCGAAATTTCAGCTTTAACGGTAACTCTTATACAACTAGACAAGTCTAAAACTTGTATCCATACGAGTCTAAAACTTGATTTCGTAAACAATTACTTTAGAGTTTCATAAACTAATTTTGGATGACTTTATTGAAGCCTACGTAATTCAAAAAGAAAGATTTTGAACAAACCAAATTTGGTGTTAGAACCTTTAATACAGTAACTTCTATAAGTGCACGCTCTTGGGACCAAGCTTTCTTTGCAGAAACTTTGATTTTTGCTAAATATGTTTACAATATCGCTACAATATTATTACAATATTACTAATATTATTATATGATAAATATATGTTAAAGATATGTTAAAATATTATTATCATATTTTAAAAATATTTTTTTTGTTCTATTAAATCACTTTTAATTTGATGTATATTATATTTATAATATAATTACAATATGGGTTTAATATTAGAAATATCTTTTTATTATTTAATAGTAATATAATAAAATAATATTTTAATAATATAATAACAATCTGTTTAAAATAATTAAATAATATTACCAATA